TCTGGGCAGCACATCATTTGCGTTGGCTACAGCGGATGTACAAGTCCATGCTTCAGGATATGTAGCCTGGCTTCCGATATATATGCCACGTATATCCGGTACTCATGGGGATGGAAGCATAAGCAGCAATGCAATATCGAGCCAGCACTCGACCATGTATTGGTTGGGTATTTACACTTTCCTCGGCCTTACTAGCGTGGCATGGGCAGTGATTGAATGGTACGTTACGTTCACAGGCACCATTACAATGGCACGCAAAATGCACAGACAGCTGGTACACAGAGTTGTCCATGCTGTGCCTCGATTTTACGATTCCACGCCAATTGGACGTATAATCAACCGCTTTTCGCGTGATATGGCTATAATCGACGGGGGTGCATTTGATGATATAGTGGCATGGCTTGAAGATATAATTACAATACTAGCTATCTACCTTGTCATATCTATAGCAATCCCAGTATTTACTATTGCCGCCATTCTCATCACAGGTATGCTGTTTATGGTTGCATTCTATTATCTAAACACATCTCGTGAGATCAAACGCTTGGAATCAAACAGCATGTCGCCCCTTCTTTCGCTATTTAGTGAGCTTATCCAAGGCGCAACAACTATCCGCGCATTTGGTGCCAAACATTACTATATTAAGGAAGCCATGAATCGTATAAGCTCACACAATCAACCATACTATGCTGTCAATGCAGCTAACAGATGGTTAAATTTGCGTATAGTTGCTGCGAGTGCCATGGTTTCAGCGACAACTGCTCTTTTTATTCTCTTCAACCTTGATTGGATAGATGCCGGGATGGCTGGTTTTATACTTTCCTATGCGATGTCATTCTCGGAAAAAATGCTGTGGGTGATCCGAGACTACGGTTCAAATGAGATGAATATGAACTCCGTTGAGCGTATACTTCAATATCTAAAGGTTGACCAGGAAGCAGCAATGGATTCGGATCCCGAAAACAAGCCATCGGCATTGTGGCCGCAAAAGGGAGATGTGCAGATTGAGAACCTGGTTGTGGAATATAATCCAGGTGTGCCTGTTTTGCATGATATTTCCCTTTCCGCGAAGCATGGAGAAAAGGTCGGTGTTATTGGTCGCACCGGCGCCGGAAAGAGCTCGATGTCTTTAGCGCTGCTGCGGTATCTAGAGGCAAGCAAGGGGCGTATTGTGCTTGATGGCGTTGACATTTCAAAGATCGGGCTGGAGGACCTCCGCCGCAATGTCACCATTATTCCGCAGGATCCGGTGCTGTTCAACGGCACAATTCGCTTTAACCTGGATCCGTTTGACGAGCACCCAGATGAGCTTTTGTGGGATGCCCTGCAGCGTACGCACTTGGTGCGTGAACGTGGAAGCCATACAAACAGCTCAACTGTTAGTGTTGCAGAAGGCGCCAATGACGAAACGCCGATGCTTGAGCGAATGACGGGGATATTCAGCAGTCTGGATGCCGAGATCAAAGAAAATGGGCAGAACCTATCGCAGGGCCAACGGCAGCTCGTATCGCTTGCGCGTGCACTTGTCAGAAGATCCAAGCTGATTATCATGGACGAGGCAACGGCATCGGTTGACTTTGACACTGACGAGAGGATCCAGCGCACAATCCGCGGACCAGAGTTTGCGAATTCGACGCTGTTCTGCATTGCGCATCGCCTGCGCACCATTATCGACTATGACAAGGTGCTTGTTCTTGACAAGGGCAAGGTTGCAGAGTTCGATACGCCGCACAACCTGCTGCAGAACGAGAGTGGCATATTCCGGAGCATGTGCGAAAAGACAGGCGAGTTTGAGCACTTGGTAGCTGCTGCAGCGACTAATCATTAAGCATCTCGGGACATTTGCAGGTCAGGGTTTTAGGGTTTTGTTTAGTTTTTAGTAGCTTTGTTGCATATAAATGAGGGGAAAGCAAGGTAGTCCAATTTTCGGGAATGATAACCAAACAAGCCAACGTGCAAAGGCAAACAACACTAATCCTTTGTCAATGAATAATCCAAACGCAGATACAATTAGACAGACATTTTGGGACATGGGATGCCGACACTGCAATAAACGATGCTTGAAATAAAACAACCATATTGACTGTTTGTAAAGTTGCTCAGAGTTTGCATTATACTTGTCGGGTTTGCGTCATTTGACGCGTCCGATCATATAGAGGTTGTCAATGATTGTGCTGATGGAAGAAGCATTACTACTACTGTTGGACTAGCTCTTTGCAACAGCGAAAGCAAATGCGCATGCCGACGGAGCAGCGCTTGCAATCGGCACAATGCCAGTCAGAGCAGCACCATGGGAATAAATGCACACTTTTCTAACGACGCCGCGTTAACGAAGCGTGGAACAGACAGAAATATAAAAAAAAAGCAGGCGCCACAGTGCAGTTTCGAAAGTAGACGACGGATGGTCATCATTGCTAACCTCTAGCCCTCAAAAGTGCCAAAATTGGATCTAAAACGGATCCAAGTGGTTCTGTGGTCTAGCGGTATGATTCTCGCTTAGGGTGCGAGAGGTCCCGGGTTCAAGTCCCGGCAGAGCCCCATTTTGCGCGTTGCT